TTTTTTTTTTTTTCTTTTAATTGTTAACAATTATTGTTCTTGTAGCAGTTGGTCTTCTACAACTTCCCATGATCCAATGCACTTTGTAAGGATGGAAAATTGGATTCATGTTGATTGCTTCAGAAAAATAAAGAGATAGGCCAAAAAGAATGTGTGTTAAGGTGGTGAAAGGTTATGCTAACATTTCTACCAAGTCTAAGAAAACTAGTCGTATGCCTTCTATGAAATAATATTCGCTGCATGTTTGTTGTTGTAGCCTAGCTCTCAAGCTGTGAAAGTTTTTGTTTAGTGCTAGGCTTTAATTTGATTGCCTTGCTCGGCCATCTTTCTAGTTCCCCTTGGGAATGTATTGAGCCTCATTGTATATTCTTATTTTTTGTATCAAACTTATGACTTAACCCCACCCCCTTACCCCCCCCCCCCCCCCAAAAAAAAAAAAAAAAAAACCTTGATAAAGCTTAATTGCGAGAAAAATCCATGCAACCGACCTTAATTAGTTTGAATTTATGCGAAAATGTTGTGGTAGCTCGTGGTAGCTCTTCCTATTTACCTCATTGCTTTGACTATCATTCTTTTTAGCCTCTCTCTCACCCGTAACAGCTCCAAGATGAATCAAATTACTTCTTGCTAGTGTACTCCTTGGTTTTCTCTGCACTTGATGTGAAAAACCTTGGAGAAACTTTCTACCTTGTCTTTCTAAATTCTACATCTAATGTATTTGTGAATATGGTCATTTTATCTCCAGATAAATAAATTATTGACTGGAACTCAATGTTGATTAAGTATACGTTGAGGATGTTTGAGAATCTCAATTGCGACTAATTACTTTTTTTTTTTTGATTTTTAACAGGCAAAGGTATCATGTGAAGTTCATGTAAATACTCGCAACCAAACAATTATCCGTCAGAATTGTTACCCCGAGGTGAGGCTCAGTTTTTATTTTAAAAAAAATTATTGAAAATAATCAACTAGAAAACTGATGTAATTCTAATCTTAAACACCATACGCGATCAATATAAAAATTTTCAGTCAGTTAGCACCCAAACTCTGTTATACTGACTCTAAATGTTTCTTTGGCCAGTGATCATACTTGGAGGGTGAAGCAGAGCTAAGCTAGAAGGTTCGATGGTGTCAGTGGTCTCTACATCTGTATACATTTAAACAGTTTCTGGTACGCGAAATCCAGAACGCGCATATCATATGATCATATCCCTGTTTCTGTAAAATATAAACATATTAAAAACTGTTGGAAAATCATTGATTGGATGTCATATATATTATATTTGTGTATATTATTATTTTTCCAGGAAAATATTCCATATGTTGTGCGAGAACAGTTTCCTGTTTGAGAAAATTACAGTAAGGTATTGAATGGCAATTGGGATAGAGAGTTGAAAGTGTGTATTATTCTTCTATTTTTATTTTATTATTATTATTAGTTTTTTTCTCTCCACAAACCCATCATTAAAATTCTCTACCCAAAGATAGTTTTTTTTTTTTTCGTTCTTTCCACCCCTCGGCGTGGTCAATGCAATAAAGGGTTTGATACTGTTTTACTACATCAATGGATTTGGAGTTTATTTCCTATTGTGTCAACCATTATAAGCCATCTCTAACAAAATGAATCAAGTTACTTGAGCGTAATTCATATTTAATTCATTAAAAATTCATTTGAGAATTGTTTGGAAAGTTAACAAGTCGAATTTAAACAAAGTTTGAAACTCTCACAAAATTTTGTTTCAAATTACATTACTCAAATTTATATTATCTATTACTCAACTCAAACTTTGCTCGGTACAATTTATCTTCATTGTAAGCTTGACACCATGCTAGAAACATTTCACATGATTAAAAATAATGATGTTAACATTTGTATCAAGGTTTCAAGTAATAGTTGTGGGTGTTGTAACGATAATGGTGGGATTGATGTGGTTGCTTCTATATCGGTGCTTTGTAATGGCTATTGAAACTCTACAATTTTTTATTTTTTGCACAATTTTGTGAAAACTTATAAATGCACGTTTTTTAATTTTAAAATCACATTTATTGAGATTTAATATATATATATATATATATTTTTTTTTAGGATTTTTATATTTTTTTAGACATGATATAACATATTTACTAAATTTTAAAGTATTGTTTTTGAGTCGTTATGAAAAGAGTTTTGACATATTTGTATTTTAATATTTAATGATTTTATATGTCGAAAATTCATAATGCATGACTTTACAGTTTATTTTGTTATTATTAGATATATACTTATAATGTTATATTGTGTTTCAAATTTGCAAGTTATATATGTTCAATAAATAAATGGGAATATATTGTTGCGATTTTATCTAACAAACTAACATATGATTCATATATTCCAGTTACAATTACATAAAAAAAAAAAAAAAAAATTTTTTTTTTAATCTTTAATGTTGATTGTTTACATTAAAAAAAATTGCTTAATCTTTAATTGTTTACAATTACATATAAAAAAAGTTGTTTAATTTGTAAGTGAAAACAAAAATTGAAAGATGAGAAAATAAGTAAAAAAAAATGGACTTTTAAATGTAGCAGATGCCACCAATATTATGTAACGACTGTAACAGTGCTATAATCTCAAGTATCAATGCTACATTAGTAACAAATATGAGTGGCGGAGCCCTTTGAACTAATGCAATGATATGAATGTAATGATAACAAATGAGATTGTAAATACTTTATAATATACAAATCATGAGCACCCACCATAATCTCAAACTCTTCCTTTTGTTTTACACCTCTCTCCTAGCTCTTCCCATGTCACAAACCCCTTGCCCATCGTGATTCTTGCGAGAGAGAGAGAATATATCTCAGGTTTTTAGATGTAAATTTAGTGCATGTTTGATTGGATAGATTAGAGCATAGGATTATGATTATTAATCCGTAGGCCTAATTATTCTATGTTTGTTTTAACATTTTGGTTTAGGATTATTAATCCAATGGATAATTAATCCAACAAATTTGTAATATTATTAGTAATGGGGAAATGTGGAATTATTAATCCTGTGGATAATTTATCCTATTAATTCAATTGGATAGTGAATACTACACTAATTTGATAAGATTATTAATACCTCACTATTAATTTTGTGAATCAAACATAGCCTTATAGAGTTTAAGAAGGAAGGTAAGAAGAAACAGAAAAACGAAGAGGAGAAAGAAGAGCAAAACACCAGTCGTGATTCATAGACGAACTATGAGAATAGATATTGCTATAAAATTATAATAAATAATAAATAACTGAAATGAAAATTCAATAAAGCTAGGTAAAAATTATTAGTAGCACCGCACAATAGTCATTATTGTAGATTATAAGATACGTGTTCAACTCTCTTTTGGTTCTATTTTCACATGACCCTACAACTGCAATGTAGAGTATCAGATAAAGAATGATATCATTATTTTTTTCATAAAAAATATTTGAAACGCTTAATTTATTGAAAAATGGTAGCCCTTAAATATTTTATTAATATTTTTATCAAATGTCTCATATTTATATGAAATATTTGATAAAAATATTAGTAAAATATTTGAGATCCTTAACATTACTCTAATTTATCATTCTTAAAAATCACCTTTAATGATGTGTTTGACGAGTTTCAAATTTTAATTTATCAAACATTCTATCGTATGAGATCTAATCTCAATGCCATATCATTAGAAATCATCTAGAAATAATACTAGGGATCCAAAATATTTAGCTAAATGTGTCACATAATGTGGATCCACACAAAACCCTTATGGTATGAGTCCCATACCTATCTAAGACATTTAACAACTCTAACATTTTTCATCATTTAGAAGTGTGATAGATTAGGGATGCAGCATTGTTTTTTCATTGTATATAAATAGTCCAAGTTGATGCATGTTACACTCATTTACCACACATAGACCAGCTAGAAAAAATTTCTCAGAACCTCAAAGCCTAACAACACCACTCTTCAGCTGCCATGCACATCGGAGGTTGGTTCAGCTCCGGCAACCGACCCACCGTTAGATGCCAGAGCTTCAGGGAGACATCCGAGACCGAGTACGATAGGTTTCTGCCGGTTAGTTTGCCAGTGACAGGATCGAAAGTACCAATTTGGATAATGATGTGGGGGAAGATCAAGAAACCGAACAAGAATAAGAGGATGATCAAAAAGAAGAGTTTCGAGCATTCAACTACGATGAAGTTCAGTTATGATCCAAACACCTACTCGCAGAATTTTGAAGAGGGATCGATTTGGGATGATCTTGATGATGGTCTCTCTCGGTCCTTCTCGGCTCGGTTTGCTGTTCCTTCAAGGATCTTTCAGAAGAGTGAAGGGATTGATGGATTAATGGGATGAAACAAGAATGATATGTGGTTTTTTAGTTCAAATCTTTGGGAAATTAAATTTGATGTTATGCTTAAAATTGTTGTCTTTTTTTAACTTATTAGTTCGATTTATTTTCGTCTTTCTTCAATGTTTATCAATTTGTTTTTACCATTTAAATGTCACACACTACAAATTAAAACAATAAATCTATTATAAATGTTAAAGTTAAGCTAAAAACAAATCATTTTTTATTAAAAAAAACAAAAAAAATACTTATTTCTATTTTTTTTGAAATTTTATAAACTTTTGAGGTTTTTTAATTGAGACGATCTATAAAAAGTCAAATTTTTTGACATAATTTTTTAAAAAAATCTGATGATCAAAGGAATATAATTAGAAGTAGCTTCTTCTCTATCATCATCATCATCATCATCTTTTTTTTTTTTTTAATTTGTTTTCTTGACTTATAAGCAAGCGAAGATGCTTCAGAGACTTTTTTTGGCCCCCTTATCTTGACTTTATTTATTATTATTATTATTATTTTTTTTTTGTTGAAGTAGAAGCAAAAGCTATTAACGGCAAAAGGAATCAACAGCATTTGCTTTTCCTTGCTTTTATTTATCATTACTTCAATAATAGTATTAATATTAGTATTAATTTTATATCCACTGAATTTAGTCTCGCTCGAGTTATTTGAATTTGTGCATATCAATCGTTTAACAGGTCATTCGGGTGGATGCCAGTTGATATACTAGTTGACAAAGATAACAACCATAGTTAATAAGGGTGACGTCGATTATCTGATCAGTTATTTGAGAGATCGTCTGGCCACGTCATTCGGGAGGAGTTGAACTTCCTCTATTTTAGTACACCAAGCATTTTTCTAATGTTATTATACTAGTGTATGCGTGTGCCTTTGGACACGGTACGGTATATATAAAAAAGAGTGAATAAAAAGGAGAAAATATAAAAATAAACAAATAGAGGAAAAATAAAAATTGGGGAAAATAAAAAAAATAAAAACAAAAGAGGGAGGAAAGAAGGAAGGAATGGGAAATCATGAGATCATTTATGGGATTATTCATAAAATCATGAAATGATGGATAAAAAAAGAAAAAAGTAAGAGAGAGAAGCAGAAAAGTAAAAAATATACACGTAGGATATTTAAAAAAAAAAAATACATCTCAGCCATTATTTTGTAATTTGAATAGATCTGAACCACTCAAATATCACAAAAATATGTTAAGATTTTAAAAATCCTCCTACTTTGTTATATAGATTTTATTATCATTGAAATTAAATAATCACCGTCCTCAAACTTCACACAACACACAGCCATATGCATACATTACATGATTTAATAATGAGACTCCAAGGTTTGCATTTTTCTTTTTTTTTCTTTTTTTTTTTTTTCTTCTCATGCCTCTGAGGAGGAAAAGAAATGCTAGGCAAACTTATAATACAATAGGTTCAGGTATAGACATGTGACCACGGATTCTACTGTCATATTTGACTAATAACAACATATTAGTCCGAATAGTTTAATTGAAGTGTTGTTTTATTCTCATATTTTTAATTTGAATAATTTAAATTTTATATTTTTAATTTTGTTAGAATGTAATCTTTCGTTATACGTTGTTAATATTTTATTTAAAAAAATATCACGTACAAAATTAGAAGATTCAAAATAAAATTTAAAAGAAATTGTAGGAACCAGTACTATAATGAATAAGTTACACATGTGGTCCTTATAATTTATTTTTTTAAATTCTATTTTTGGTCTTCTAGTTTTACGTGTGATCTTTTTCCTTTCAAAATTCTAATGTTTAGAATGACTAAATTACAATAAAACTGAAAATGTAAAATTTAAATTGTTCAAATTAAAATTAATTTTTTTTTTTTTTTTTACTTAAACTAAAGGGACTAACAATATAATTTACCCTCTATATAATATAATAACGTCATAGAAGTGCTGATTTAAATATAGAGAATATATTACTTAGATATAAAAAAAAAAATACACATATATATATAGGGATGAATGCACTCTCACAAC